AAAAATGAGTTGCAGTACCATACATAACTTTACACTAGACTGAGGGGTTGGCATTACATTGCCAAATCGTCATCCGACCAGCAGGTGGGCTCGGCGCGCCTAAATATTCCCAGCAGGAAAGCATTCAGTGAATTTCCCTGTTGATTGGTATCATATTTAAGCAGCTGAGGGGCTCCTCACCACCTTCCCATGGGAGTGTTGGCATCATCCGTAATCGGTGAGTGGTTAACTTTGCGGGCCCGTGACCTCATTCATCATTCTTTATCCGTGCAAAACTAAATTTCTCCTTCCATTACAGCATAACGGACGACTACTATCTTTTTACCTTAGTTTCATCTGGGTAACCCTTCTTCCTATATTATCGGACCTTGAATCCAAGTCAGACTGCTACTACCTGCGATTTTCAAAGTAACCAACTGTCTTTTTGTATATCCTTCCTAGTCGATGAACTTGCTAGTGAAGAGCGTGCGCAGTTCATACTACAGTCACTCCAGCTTGTCCTTATTACCCGACTGGAAACTTTGGGTCAGTTGGTCCGCGCGTCTGGTTGATTGCTGAGCTCTGAGGTCACTCTTTGCCCGTTTTCTCCCCACCGGACCGCCTTCTTGTACTTCACAAAAGCTCCCCGCCTTCGTTGTAGGGCCAACATTTATTGTCGTTTTAGCAGTGTTTGGTCTGATTGTTGGTTACTAGTACCTTTGGGCTGCGGTAAAGCTGTCAATCGTCGTTTTAATTTGGCGTTGACTTGATTGTCTTTATACATTACCCCTCTATTTCCTCTCTTGCTTCATATCCTACACTTCCAACCTATTTTTTTTTTAATTTTTATTATTATTTTCTTTTTACTTTTCAACAGGTTTCTTTTTGAGAAACTTGGCGTTCTCGATTCAATCTCATTCAGCCATCAAATCCGATTCCGCCGCCAACTATGCCTTCCCTCGAAGACGGTTCCAAGAATGACTCAAGACTGCTACTCATTTCAAATCGGTTACCGATTACGATAAAACGCTCCGAAGACGGGAAGTATGACTTTTCCATGTCATCTGGCGGCTTGGTCAGCGGTCTCAGTGGTCTATCAAAATCCACTACGTTCCAATGGTATGGCTGGCCCGGCCTTGAGGTCCCCGAAGAAGAGATACCGGTGGTGAAGCAACGGTTGAAGGATGAGTACAATGCGGTCCCCGTATTTATCGATGATGAGCTCGCGGACCGCCACTACAATGGATTCTCTAGTGAGTGCATCTTACCATGCATTTAGAACGCAGACTCAAGCGCATTAAGTTGTACCAGGTTACTAATAAGTTCCTGTTGATCAGATTCTATCCTGTGGCCTCTTTTCCATTATCATCCTGGTGAAATCACCTTCGATGAATCTGCTTGGGATGCTTACAAGGATGCGAATCGACTATTTGCGCGGGCCGTCGCGAAAGAAGTTCAGGATGGAGATCTAATTTGGGTTCATGACTACCATTTGATGCTTCTGCCTGAGATGCTTCGAGAAGAAATCGGAGACCAGAAGCAGAACGTTAAGATTGGATTCTTCCTCCACACCCCCTTCCCTAGCAGTGAAATTTACAGGATCCTCCCCGTCCGAAACGAGCTCTTGCTTGGGGTCCTCCATTGCGACCTCATAGGCTTCCACACCTACGACTATACAAGACATTTCTTGAGCGCTTGCTCGCGTTTATTGTACGTTGAGACCAGCCGTTATGTAAAAAATACAGGAGCTAACGAAGGGCATCTAGGGGATTGGCGACGACTCCTAACGGCATAGAGTTCCAGGGCAAAATCATTGCCTGCGGAGCTTTCCCGATCGGCATTGACCCTGAGAAATTCCAGGAGGGTCTTAAGAAAGAGAAGGTCCAGAAGCGGATTGCACAGCTTGAACAGAAATTCCAGGGAGTGAAGCTTATGGTGGGTGTTGACCGCCTTGACTATATTAAGGGCGTTCCGCAAAAGCTGCATGCGCTGGAAGTGTTCCTTAGTGACCACCCTGAATGGGTTGGTAAAGTTGTCCTGGTTCAAGTTGCTGTCCCCAGTAGACAGGATGTCGAGGAGTATCAGAACTTGAGGGCTGTTGTGAACGAGCTGGTTGGCCGTATCAACGGGAAGTTTGGTACGTGATTTTGCTGGCAGGCCATGATAACGTGTTGCTGACCTGATTAGGTACTGTGGAATTCATGCCAATCCATTTCCTACACAAGTCAGTCAACTTTGATGAACTGATTGCCCTGTATGCCGTGTCGGATGCGTGCATTGTTTCATCAACTCGGGATGGCATGAATCTGGTCGCGTACGAATATATTGCAACCCAGCAAAAGCGGCACGGTGTTTTGGTCCTCTCAGAATTTGCTGGTGCAGCCCAGAGTCTCAATGGCAGTATCATCATTAACCCTTGGAACACCGAAGAACTCGCTAGTGCCTACCAGGAGGCTGTTACCATGAGCGACGAGCAGAGGGCTCTGAATTTCTCCAAGCTGGACAAATATGTCAATAAATATACGAGGTATGCACATGCGTATCATTTCGACAGATGAATATCGCTAACCTATTTCAGTGCCTTCTGGGGCCAGTCATTCGTCACGGAATTGACGAGGATATCTACCCAATCTGCGGAGAAATTCCAATCTAAAAGGGCTTCTCTTGCCGGCGCATACCACGAACAAGTGAACGGTGTAGAATCCGAGGGATCGTCTTAATTGTGCACCAAAAAGACACCTAACTTCTATACTGTCTCACTTGGAGTATCTGAAGAGAAAACACAAATCTGTGTAATGAATGGCTTAGAGCTTTTTATTGACGGTCTATGAGCACTGGATGGCGTGAATTGTTTTTTGAGTTTTTGCTTTGCATTGGTCAAAATTCTCGGTCACTCATTTGAAATGTCATAAGAGGGTAACATTGTACTTAGATTCCTGGGTCCGGGTCATGGATGGGTATAAAAGGTCGAGGTGTTACTGGTGTACTGTACATTAAGCGTTCTGTCTAAGCTCTCAACTCAGCGTGTATTGCCATTGTTAATTTGTATTTGATAACTAGAACAGAATGACATATCATCGATCCACTACCTAGTATTAGTAGCTTCAGTCTGGAAAGATCAGCCTGACCTCCTAGTTGTATGTGGCGCGGGTATGCAAACAGTGCAAACATCGGCGAGAAATTCTGGACGGCCTCGTCCGCGGATTTGACGCTCTTCCACCGGAGACGCCGCCTGAGCTTTTGTTGAGACGAGAACATATTGCCCAATTGTAATATTATCGGACTGAGATTGGGCTTGAGTCAAAACTTTGCGGGCGTAAAATTCACTCTCGATCCGCGATAAAACCGCACGCGCCTTGGAGGGAACCACCAAGTCGGACTTTATCGCACCCAAGAGAAACAAGCATCAAGGACAGGCACAGGGGAACCCCTCTACTCATACGAAGATGCGTCCAAGCAATATCTTCCGGGCAATGCAGCCTCTTCGCTCTTCTATCATCAAACCTACTTCGACCTCATCCTCAGCCGCACACATCTACTCTACCATCTCGACACCAATTCGCCGCTTGAATTCGACGACCGCTACACCCACGGAAACCCAATCGTCCACAGCACCTTCTACTCCATCGGCGGCTCCTCCTTCCCTCCGCAGCTACCCCTACACCTTGAAGACCGGCACTGTGGTCTCCGTCGGCCGCATGGACCGTACTGTCCGCGTCGCCCATCGGCACACCATGTGGGACAGTCACATTCGCAAGACGTATCCGAAGGTTACGACATATCTTGTATCCGACCCAAAGAACTCCCTGCGTGAAGGTGATGTCATCGAGTTCTCCTCGGGGTACCCGAAGAGCCGGCATGTACGTCATGTCGTTGAGCGGATTATTGCACCGTTCGGCGAGGCAATCGAAGACAGACCAGCTGTTCTGACACGTGAAGAGCGGGATGCAGAGCGTGTGGTCAAGCGAACTGCCAAGTGGGAGCGCAGGGAATCCAAAAGAGTAGAGGGTGACGAGGGCCAGAGCTTAGGAGGACAAGACCACGTTGGGCGGATCAGGAGGCTAGTGTATGAGCGTACTAAGGCACAGTAGAAGGCGAGTATACTCCGCTTGTCATTCTTTGGCATTTTTCTTTCGATTGTATAAGATAAATACTGGGCTCAGAGGGCTGTGTTTTATCTTTGTGTGTTGACTCTTTCCGAATGTATTATATCTCACTATGCATGTGTGCTACCAGTCTTTTCTTTGCAACACTTACTCATATTGGCCAGTCATATTATAGAAATGTAAGCTTTTGGAATTAGGTTTGGCGTCTTGTAATGGTTGATCGGAGAAGCTACATGTAGCTTGAGCTCAAGGCAACGTATAGTTTTTCAAATTGGCGTCGGGCATTAAGCTTGGGTCTCGGAAGTGCTGATTATAGACCATCACTGACTGAATGCGTTTCTCTAGGCCGGTAACTTGACGTCCAGTGAATGAATAGATTCGGTACTCACTGGAGATTAGAAAAAGTGTATACCTTAGGTTTCAATCAAGGTGTAATTGATTAATATGCGAGCTAGACGGAATAAAACAGGTCTTTGAGGGAGTAGCAGCCATATCATTGGAATGTGCTTGCGTAGATTAGAGTATAGAACACTCACTATTTGAAGAACACTTTCAATGGAGGTAGACCCTAGTTCTAGGGTCTGTTCTGCAGTTAGACTTACTAGTAGCTCGGAGTCAATCAACATCACCATATCACTAAGGGATGTCTGTTGGCTTACCAGAGTATCAAGTATATTTATCATGACATTAGACCCATGGTTCCAGGTTACGTTTTCCTAGCAAGCACCAATGGGCATAGAGTAGCCGAGGGCAGGGGAAATAAATTACACCCCGCCTCCCAGGATGCTACTACTAGTAGTACTAGTAGTGCTACCTGGTACGATACAGTCAAATTTTTAAACAGGCCGTAAGACCATTTGATATCCATGGCCTATTAAACTCAAAGTGCAATTACTTCCTTCTCTGGTGTGCAAAATGCATTTGTTTACTTTACCTCTTGCCATTCTCTTGTGCTTCTTCCAGACGACCCTTTCGAGTACGATTCCCGACTCAAGTCTAATTGCCAGTAATATTCCTTTCCCAACTAGAGCTTACTGGATGCGTCGAGCAAATGAAGCATTGGGCGAACTAAGTGGCTCTCCGTGTCCATTCGCTGCATTTGGCACTGCCGTCGTTAATCATACCGATACTGATGGACTGGGAGATCTGATATGTATCGGGATCAACCAGAATCGCCAGACAGGAAACCCGTCCTTACACGGTACCTTACCTCAAACCTCCCTCCGATAGTAGTTTGCCCATCTGTTGCTGATGAAGATTGATACCATCTAGGAGAAATAGCAGCCATCACGAACTGCACTGCCATTCTGACTGATCCACATGGCCGATTTCGACTAACGGCCTCTGAAGCTCAAGCTGCATTTGTCGATTTAACATTGTATACCAACGCCGAGAGTTGCCCTATGGTAAGCAGATTGTCCCCGACGCTCCGAATTCCAAGACATATTTTTTGGAGGTTAACGATCAGAAAGTGCGCCTCTGCCATTCGGTGGGCAGGGTTTAAGGAATATGTCTACGGGACTTCAATTAACACGTTAGTCCGAAAAGGCTGGGCCCAAATTCATATATCCTCATTGGAAGTCTTCCAGGCTTCTTTAGACTTGTCGTCTCAGACTCTCTTGATGGGGGATGTTCTTGCGAATGAGACGGATCCATACTTTTTGTGGCAGTTTGATCCGGCTTACCCTTGCCCTGATGGCTGCTCGCGTTCTGGTAATGGTAGTAGATGTCGTGTTTCTGCAAGTAATGAATTGAAGTAGGATGTATGTTAGAGATCTGAATTGTGTACATCCGTGTTAGGGTTATAATGGGGCTGTGCGAGATAGTAGTATGTTACGTTTTTCGAATATCAACCTTTTGGAGAATATAGCCCTGAGTGATGAAAGCCTTGCAATTTGGCGATCTGATTCTGTAGACTAACTGTTGACCCAATCTATATCTGATAGTCACCCTGCAACTACAATAGCCCCCCAAATACGGAAAGTCCACCGGCCGACTTTGTTTCCTAAAAAGGCAAGTTTGAAAGGGTTCCCCCGAAACCCCCCATTTTTACCCACCCAAGTTATGATTATCCATGCCTTCTGCGGTAAATATATCGGAGTGCTCTAATGTCCAAGGCTGGTGGTAGATCTTCTATCAGGGAAAAGGAGAATGTTATATAAAGGCAATGCTTGCGACCTCCGATGTCTGCTCTTCACTAAGCAATTCAACTTGAATCTAGTGCCAATCGTGTTAAACAAACCGAAATGCCCTCCAACCCAATCGTCTTAATCACCGGTGCCAATACTGGCCTTGGACTTGAGACAGTCAAGGCATTGCTGCGCTCATCCAAAGCATACACCATCCTTCTCGGGGGCAGGAGTCTCGACAAAGCCAATGCTGCAGCGAAAGGAGTACAAGAGGAATATCCCCAGAGCTGCAGCGTTGTCAAAACGATTCAAGTCGACGTAGAATACGACGACTCGATCACCAGAGCATCCGAGTATGTCGCCAACGAATACGGTCGCGTGGATATCTTGATCAACAACGCAGGTTTGTAAACCCTGCAAGGCTGCAAGCTAAACCAGACCAAAGACTAAAACAACTTATACAGGGGCACTGTTAGACTCCCAGTTCTACTCTGGAAACCTGACGATGCGAGAAATGTGGAACACATCATGGAACGTCAATACCGTTGGAGCGCACATCCTCACTCACACTTTCATACCCCTTCTCCTCAAATCGTCCAATCCGAGACTCTTGTTCATCACAAGCGGTACATCGGCGCTTGGTGAGACTGAAGATACCTCGTACAGATTTAACAAATCACCTGCCAAGGGTTGGCCCAAGGAAGAACCTTCTTTTGGAGCATATAGGTCTAGCAAGACTGGCATGAACATGATGGTGTGCGAGTGGGTTCGGATTCTGCGAGAAGATGGCGTTAAGATCTTTGGCATCTCACCGGGGTTCTTGGCGACTGGCTTGGGTGGTGATGTCGAGCTTAATAAAAAGCTAGGTGCATTAGATCCGACCATAGGGGCGGAATTTGTGCGAGATGTTGTTGAAGGGTGTCGTGATCAGGACACTGGTAAAGTTATTCGGCGGGACGCAACTCAGCCTTGGTAGTTGTATATAACCATTTATCCATCGGTATAGATTGTTAAGGGCGACGGTGAATGCCTAGCTATCAGTCTTTACCAAATACAGTCTAAGGTTCAGCTGATCATCCATGTGACCACTAAGTTTGGGGGCGGTTCGGGCATTGAGTAGTATGCTCCTGGAAGTTTGATGCTCCCACTGATGTTACTCGAAGACTACGGCGCTTTGAATAAACTGTATCAATGAAACACTGGAGACAATGTCAGATATTTCAAGGTTCACAGGCAAATTTCGAGCGCGTAAAGATCCTAACCCTTCCCATAAGGCCTCAACTGCTAAAGTAACAAAGTCGCAGAGAGCATCGCTGGTTTGCGAGCAGTGCAGGAAGTCTAAACTTCGATGTGATCGAGGACAGCCCTGCAATAGCTGCATTCGGAGACATGAATCAGATGCATGTTCTTATCGGCAGAGGGCGGTGCCAACGGTTAACACAGGCGAACATAACACCGTTGAGAGTAGGCTGACACACCTGGAGTCTTTGCTCAAGACATTGATGCGTAATAAGGAAGTCCCATCAGAACACGATGTGGTGTTCCCGGACATGTCCCGCTGCTCAATAGATGCTGTTACTATTCAGTCTCCATATGTCGGTTCCACACATTGGTCAGCTATTTTGGACGACATTCACGAGCTGAAGGTGGCCCTGAGTGGATCTATCAATAACCAGGGAGTTAATACACTTGCCCCGGATGGCCCTTCTTTGGGTACCGAACTGATTTTTGGTTTGCCACATCTTTACTCTTTGCAACAAGTCATGTCTCGATATCTTCCCTCGAAAGTGGATGTCGATCGATATCTCTCATTATACTTCCAGGGTGAGACTTTCGTGATCCCGTTCATCCACACCTATCATTTCCAGCGCCAGTATACAGAATTTTGGGATGATCCAAACAATGTTAACCCTCTTTGGCTTTCCATTTTATTTTCCATATGCTGTTTGTCATCCCTTACAAGGGAAACAGCTGGCCCGGGTCGTCCGCTACAAAGGGACGCAGTCGCCGAAAGTCCTAAGTTTCACGCGGCTGCTGGACAATGTCTTGTCATAGGGGAGTATCATCGGCCACAAAAACTAGCACTTGAGGCACTCGCTGCCTATGCCCAGTGCAAGAACCTTAAGAGCTTGGACCCATCTCGGGAAGCTGGGATGATTCTGGGAATGGTTGTCCGTATGGCGTACGAATTGGGCTACCACCGGGATCCAGACTCCTTCGGATCTCTGAGCATTTTTGAAGGCGAAATGCGCAGGCGATTCTGGGCTGCGTGTAAGCATATGGATATCATGATCAGTTTTCAGCTGGGCCTACCGAGCAACATTTGTCTCGAGAGTTGTGACACGAAGTCCCCAAGAAACCTCCTAGACTCAGACTTTGATGTGGACACGCAGGTCTTACCTGAGTCTCGACCCGAGACTGATCCCACAAAGTTGCTGTGGTTCATCGTTAAGGACAGACAAATAACTAGCTTCAGCAAAGTTTGTAAATTTATGCTCTCATTTAAAGAGCAGTCTGAAGCTGATCTACATCGGCTGGATGAAGAAATCCGACAAATCTACGCAACGATTCCCGACATCTTGCGAACTCATCCTCTCTCAGAATCTATAGCAGATCCTCCTTTTCTCATAATTACCAGGCTATATATTGAGTTTATTTGTTTGAAGAATCTCTGTGTGCTGCATCGCGGATACATGGTCCAGGGCAATGTCGACAGCACTAAGGCTTGTGTTGAAGCCGCAAAGCGCCTTGTCAGTCAGTTTATCGATATGTACAAGGAATTTTCACCTGGCGGTCAACTGCACGCGGAGAAATGGATGATGACTAATTTCACGATGAACGACTTTCTGTTGGGCGTCATGGTTCTCTGCCTGGTGATACATATCCATCGCAAGCAAGCCTCCTGGACCAGAACTATCGATTCTGCCATACGGAAAGAAGTGCTTTCTCTCCTTGAACAGTCGTATGAGATCTGTGTAGAAAACTCTCAGGCCAGCAGAGATGCACGACGGGTATCTCATGCTTTGCATCTCGTTCTGAATAGCGCTAAGATGTCCAGTGTGCCCGAATCACAACTTGCAAACGGCACCATATCGAGTATAGACTCAGCATTACTGGTTGCGCATTCTGAGAATACCGTTGGTCAGACAAATATAGCTCCTTTTGATGTGTTTGATCCGTTTAATAGCATGGGCATGGACTTCGAAAGCATCGACTGGGATGCTTTTGACTCGCACTTGGACGTCTAAAAACACATGCTTGTACATATTTGCAATGGAAGTGTTTCATGTGTTCAGACTCCAGCAGCTAGAACCAGCACTAGAGGTCTAGACTGGCCAGACCATAACGCCTTGCGCTTGCACGCTGCAAATATTCCTGTAATTGGCTCCTTGAGCTATATCACAGGGCCTAATCCTCCAACTATATAGTTTCCGGCCGGATGATGTTTACTTTCGAGATGCATATTGCGACATGCACTATTACATACCAGAGCTCGACGCAGCTGAAGTGCTAGTACCTACTGAAGTTTCGATCAAGCACCGGATTTGATCATTCATCATATATAAAAAGCTTATAATCCCTCGATCAACTTCGCCCAATCAACCAATATTCTCAAGCTTCTCTCGTTCGTACCTTGTTCAACTACAAGCTTCTTTTCAACTTAGCTACACCCACGAACAACGATGGATCCAAGTCCAAAAGCCACTTCCCAATGGGCGGAGATCCGTCTAGAAAACAAGAGCAAATCTGGCACCTTAGTCATCGATGACATAGAGGTAGTATGGGGCAAGATCTACCCTGAAGGTTACCCCAACGCAGACGACGTTCAACGGCATAGAGATCAATCCTGGAAAACATTACATCTTCCGGAGCTGTAGCCGGGGGAACTCCTCTTCCGGTACAGAAGGTAATTTTAATCTGAAGTCGAACGGTTCCGTGGGCAAGAATATCTTCTGGGATAGTCCATGAGGCCTGGGAGGGAACAAGCTAAAGGTGACCACGCCGCATGGCGAGGACCTGGAATGGGGATATGAGGTTACGTAGTTTGGAGGATCAGGGCAGACTAGTGGGCCTTTAGGGAGTGTGACTATCGAGTTTAGGCTTTATGCTTAAGGCTAGATGATTCTTTGGGGTCGTTTGACATGGTAGGGCTGATAGGGCTGATTTTGGTCTATACAATGATGACAGGAATACGTAGCTGCTCGGTTCGCATGTTGTTGGCATTATTCAAGCTGAGTTCTCTGTCTTAAGCTGCTTTGATATTCTTCGTGCATTTTCTAGATGAATCATGAGCCCCTAACAACAGTCGCGATGTGGTATTGGTATGCCAATAAACCGGGTTTCTCTCTACCTGATAAAGAGAAGCTCGCATTCCTCTGGGGGCAACAAGTGTCTTGTTTTCTAGTCATACTGTGTAGCCTAGAGCTTTGTTTCAACTGCTATCTCGATGTTAGGGCGTTATTCGTGGACCCCACGAGGGTATATCATTGAAGTCTAGTAACCTGTCAGTGTATGGCGTCCTTTGACCAATGACGGTAATATGAATGTATATAGGTACTAGTACTCTGTAGTTACTTCCCAATGCGAAGGATCACATGCGAAGAAAATGATCTCCAGGAAATTCTCCTGGGTGAATAACAGCCACAGAAGATGCAATGAAAAGGGGTTCCTCAACGTGGAAGTTGGAACATCGTTGTGGCCAGAGTGATACATCGTATTAGCCCTGTCAGAGCGTCTTTAACTCTCATTATGATTCAATGTTGACCCACCCATAAGGTCTGTCTACTAGTCTAGCGTGGTCTGTTGTGCATTAAATGGCAAAATTGCCCCAAAACTCTAAGAATATATCGCCGTACATCATATGATGAATAGATCCTTCTGAGAGGGAGTACTCCGTAGATGGTCAAATAATGGAATTCCCGGTTCAGGGGTTGTCAATCAAACTCTATTAAATCAAATCATCGCAAGTGATCAGCAATAGTTATGAGGTGTGAATAACTTAATAGGTTACAGGAAAAGAATAAAGTGTGTTTTGTTTTTGTTGATCCGCGGGGAAAACAAGCCGGACAAGATTGGCAGAAAAAAGACCAGTCCGTCCACTCTCCCTTTTGGGTCGCGAAGTCACCGGAGCGACTTGCCCGTTGTTTACTTCGTCTCTTTCTCTCTCCCACTCTGCTTGTCTGATTGAACTTCCATCGACCCTTTTACCCCACGGGTTCTGTCCGGTTCCTATTTTCAACGGCAGAACATCCATCCTTGTCATCCTGACACCCTCCGACATTGAGTTATACTTTTCTTTGGATACCCGTTGTGCGTGGCTAAACAAACGGTTAACTGCCCAACCGCACGAGCCCTGCAACCTTCTGCAAGCTTAAGGTGTGTGCGATCTATAAGAGCGAACATACCCAACCCTCAATTTCTCTACAGTCGGATGCTTGTACCGAAATATATAGACAAGATCCACCGTGCCTGTGACCCTTGAGACCGCACACAGATGACACATTTGCCGTCGCAGAATCTCAGGACTTGACTAACTAGTCTCTCTCCTAGTACACTTTAGATCGCCGTCATTATGGCTGACGGAGAGGAGGACTTCTCCTCTCTCCCACTGCCCGAACGATTCGCACACAAGGTTAGCCCCGCCCGTCGACGATTTCACTCGATTGCCGTCGACTAATATCTGGTCATTGCCACTGTAGAACTGGAAAGTGCGTAAGGGAGGTTATGAAGATGCCAAACAACAGTTCGAGAAATCCCCAGATGAATCAGATCCCGTTTTCACACCGTTTATCCAAGACGCGGGCCTATGGAAAGGAGCTGTCGCAGATTCCAACGTCGCGGCCCAACAAGATGGCCTCGCGGCCTACTGCGCTTTCTTAAAATTCGGAGGTGTTCAGGCTTGCACAAGGTATGATGTTCTTGATGATTTACACTGCCCGATGATAGAGGTGGCTAATGTTTCCCTGAAAAGGTCTCGTGCTATCACAGTTTTCCCCATTGTAGAAAAGGGTCTTCCGTCCACAAGACCGGCAGCAAAGACGAACGCTCAAGAAGCCCTTCTACTATTAGTCGAATTAGATAAAGCAGATCCCGTGATCGAAGAGATTCTGCCTGGACTATCACACAAGGTGCCCAAGGTTATTGCCGCGACGTTGGCTGGCTTGAGATCAATCTATCACAACTTCGGATGCAAGATTGTCGACCCCAAACCGGTTCTTAAAGCCCTGCCAAAGGTCTTCGGACACGCAGACAAGAACGTTCGTGCAGAAGCGCAAAATCTCACAGTGGAAATGTACCGGTGGTTGAAAGAGGCTATCAAACCGCTTTTCTGGGCCGAACTAAAGCCAGTCCAGCAAACCGACTTGGAGAAACTCTTTGAAAACGTCAAACAAGAGCCACCACCGAAGCAAGAGAGATTCACTAGAGCCCAGCAGGACGCGATGGCTGTCGCCAGCGCAGCCCCGGAAGACGGTGAAGCTGAAGACGGAGGCGAAGAGTACGGGGATGAAGACGGCGGAGAAGTTGACGCTTTTGACCTCGCAGAACCTGTTGACGTGATGCCCAAAATTCCGAAAGATCTACACGAGCAGCTAGCATCATCGAAGTGGAAAGACCGGAAGGAGGCACTGGATGCTCTCCATTCAGCACTGAACGTCCCGAGAATCAAGGATGGGCCATTCGACGATATCGTACGCGCGCTAGCCGCTCGCATGAAAGACGCTAACATTGCGGTTGTGACCGTCGCTGCCAACTGTGTCGACTTACTCGCTAAAGGCCTTCGGAACGGATTCGGCAAATACCGCTCAAGCATTATGGCTCCTATACTGGAGCGCCTGAAGGAGAAGAAACAGAGCGTTGCAGAGGCACTGGGCCAAGCTTTAGACTCGGTATTCGCATCGACTACCTTGACAGAATGCTTGGAGGAGATCCTTGAGTTTTTGAAGCATAAGAACCCGCAAGTGAAGCAAGAAACACTCAAATTCCTTATCCGTTGTCTCCGTACCACCAGGGATGTCCCGTCGAAAGCGGAGGTCAAGTCGATTGCTGAAGCGGCTACTAAGCTTCTCACCGAATCTAGTGAGGTCAATCGGTCGGGAGGAGCTGAAATCCTTGGTACATTGATGAAGATCATGGGCGAGCGAGCGATGAACCCCTACCTTGAGGGCCTCGATGATATCAGAAAGACGAAGATCAAGGAATTTTTCGATACCGCCGAGGTTAAGGCGAAAGATAGACCTAAGCCTATTGTTGGCGCACCCAAGGCTGTGCCGGCGGCTGGTAAAAAGGTCGTCGGTGGGAAAAAGCCAGCATTGGGAATGAAAAAGCCCCCTCCAGCTGCAGCACCGCCACCAGCCGAAGAACCAGCGCCTGCTCCCTCACCTCCTAAGAAGGCTGTGCCATCGAGGTTGGGCGGTCCTAAGGCTGGTGGGCTTCCCGCACCAGGTTCTGGTCTTAAGAAAAAGCTGGGTGGTCCCGGAGGCATAGCATCCCCACGGCGGGTTGTTTCTCCTCCCTCTGAGGAGCAACCCGCGGCTCCTGCTGCTCCCAAGTTTGGTCTTGGTAGAGGACTTGCGGGCCGTCCTATCGCAAAGCCAGCCGCTCCTCGCGAGCCTTCGCCTGTACCAGCGGCGCCTCCACTGACCGGAATGTCGGCTGTTGAGCGAGCCGAGCTAGAGGAATTGCGTCTCGAACAGGAGAAGTTTACCCGACTTGTTGAAGACTTGAAGTCAGAGAGGACCAAGTTGAAGTCACAAGTGACAGAACTTCAGGATCAGAACGCACAACTCATTGAAGATCATACGAGGGATGTTCTGAGTATCAAGGCCAAGGAAACCCAATTGGTTAGGGCTCGGAGTGATGCAGAGACTGCAGAACAAACTGTTCAGAAGCAGCAGCGGGAAATTGACCGTCTAAAACGTGAGTTGGCAAGGGCCCTTCGTGCTAGCGCTATCAGCCCGCCCAACACTCTACCAGAAGGGATTAGCATGGCATATGGAGATGCCGGATCAGTTTACCAGGACGCAGCCAGCAATGGCCACGGTTCTTTAGCACGTGGTTACCACATGGGGTCACGATTCGAGAGTTCAAGGCCAAGGAGTTATGCTTCTGCCAGCCCAAGTGAAGAGAAGGAGAACAGTGGTCTGGAATCTCCAGGCCTGGGCAGCAGAGATGGGGGTCTCGGCCGACGGAAGCTAAGCCCTACTTTTGGCACCAGTTATTCCGGAATGGGTAGTCCCACCCGGTCTTC